AGCTCACAGCAACCTAGACTCCTGGGCTCCTTTTTCTGTCATTCCCATCTCGCTGCTGGAGACACCTGTGGAATAAACTTGTCCACAGTTTGAAGACATAAAATCAATGATTGTCAAAGACAAGTTACTGAAAAAGAAACATGGCTGAGTGGGGGAAGTAAGTGAAGTCGGAGAAGCCCCTCATGAATGAATTACAAGCATGGGTTTCACGTGTTAGGAACGAACACGAAATCAGTAGATCTTTATAAGTATCAAAGTTTGGAATAGAGGATAGGAAGCCAAGGTGAGAATATAAGTGAAGATCATTTGGGTTGAAAATGATTACCAGGAATACAGGATAGCCAAGGAAAATTCCTTCAATGTAATCTGAACTAATTTCCTCTACCTCGGAACAACCATTTTGTTATTGGTCATGAGTAGCTCTCCCCTGGGAGCGAGCTTAGTGAGCTCTAACATTCTGGGATCTCCCCTCATCGATATGCTCCGTCTTAGAATCTCTCCCTTTCCTCTGGTGGCTTTTCAAGACCTGTACTAAAGGCTCAGCTTGTTCCAACCCCCAAATGAAGCCGATTTGCTGCTTCTGATCTCCTCCACTAGGTTTTAAAAAGACATTTTAATCTTCATTTATGTTCACTCTCATCACCAAAGTCCTCAACAACGTAGTCAACACGCCCACCTCAGCCCATCCTGCCCTGGCCCTCTGTGGTCGGGCTCCGTCCTGGCTCTGTGCTTTGCTCATGGTCTTCCTGCTGCTTGGAACGGCCTTGCCTCCCCTCTCTGCCTGACCAGATTCAACATGTCCTTTAGGGCTGTGCTCAAAAGTGCCCTCTTTCAGGACACCATCTGTGACAAGTCCGTCCGCAGCACTTCTGCAGCAACACTTTATCCTCTGCCGCCAGGCTCCGAGGGGCTTCCCTGTCCTGCAGCTGGCTGTGCAGCTCAGGGCGGATGTGCCTGCTGCTCCAGCGCCTCTGATAATGCCCACCAGCTTCCTCCCAGCATCAGCCTGTCAGCCCCAGGAGAGGATCTGGACCTTCATCGGCATTGTGAAGCACCAGTGCCTGGCACAGTTTGTAGGACAGATACTGCATACTGAAGCAATGCTTATTCAACTGAATAAAAAGATAAACTATTTCAGCCCTGACCTTTTTCTTGGACTCCAGTCACACCCTCAAAACTACCCATTCTGGGAACCAGTGTACAAACCACAGAGGCAAACTTGGAATCAGTCCCAGACCTGCACTCTGACCAGCCATATCATTTTTCTTCCTTTTTTCTTTTTTAAGACAGAGTCTCACTTTGTCACCCTTGGTAGAGTGCTATGGTGTCAGAGCTCACAGAAACCTCAAACTCTTGGGCTTAAGTGATTCTCTTGCCTCAGCCTCCCAAGTAGATGGGACAACAAGGTGCCAGCTAGAACACCTGGCTACTTTTGTTGTTGTTGTTGTTGCAGTTGTCACTGTTTAGCTGGCCCAGGCCGGGTTGGAATCCACCAGCCTTGGTGCATGTGGCTGGTGCCACAACCACTGTGCTACAGGCACCGAGCCCAGTCTCAAACACTTACTTGAAGGCCGCATGCCTTAGTTCCCTACGCATAAAACAAAGATAACCTTCATAACAATACAAAGGCTTTTTATGAGGATTATATTTTCATATATTTTCAATATGAGGATTTATATTTATCATTTATAAAGATTATAAATAAGAAAAAAGTATTTACTAATGAGAAGATAATAAGTAACATAAAAGTGTTAAGACATAGTTATGAAGACTTGGCTAGTCTACCGCTAGCTCAAATTTAACACGTTTCAAATTGAACTCTCAAACCTCCTCCTCTGCCTCATCTGAGCATAACCATGAATGGCACCTGGTATGGCTGAAATTATTCCATTAGTACCCGGTCCCCAAACTCATGTGTTGAAGTCTTAACACCCAGCACCTCAGACTATGACCTTATTTGGAGATAATGTCATTAGGGAAGCGATCAAGTTAAAATGAAGTCCTGAGGGTGAGCCTAAGGACTGGGGTCCTTATAAAAAGGGAAATTTGTACACACAGACG